ACTGCCCACTGTGGAGGTGCCTTGTCTGTGAAGGAGTGGAGGAGGGCAGATGGATGCAAGCCAGAGCAGTCTCTTCCTACCAACTGCTCCAAGGCAGGGGCTGGAGCAGCATGGAGCCAGAACCAGCCCACGGTTGGCTGTTAAGAGCACTCTGTGGTGCTGCTGGGCTGTGCCTTGGAGCTTCGCAGCAATCTGGGGGTCTGCTTTCTGGTGGGAGCAGGTACCTTGCTGTTAGGCAGGTTATGAGATGCGCAGAGTGGGCGCAGGGCTGCCCTGAGTTGGTCTGCTCCTGTGCCTCATGTTTCATGGGGAGGTGATGGGGGAGAGTTGGAAGTAAGAAAGGCAGAGGGAAGATGGGCTGGGCACCATTGCAGCTGCCCAGCAGCTCCTCAGAATCCACGGCTGGGTTTCCTCTGATCAGATGCTCCTTCTTCTAGCTCCAAGAGGCTGGGCTGTAGCCTGGAGGCAAAGGGCAAAGCCTGTCATGGCGGTGTCTGTGAGGACAGATACTTCTCAGCTTAATCTTGACCCAAAGGACCTGCAAGCCACAGGGGACAGGAAATAGCAGGAGAATGGCCAGAAGGGACATCAGGGGCTGTGAGCCCTGACCAGGCAAAGGAACACTCCGTTCCCAGGGCTGGGAGCTGCAGGCTCCCTGTCCAACCACCCTCCCCAGCCATAACTGGGAGAGCCCCAGGGTGCTGCTGCCATGCTCCTCACCCTCCTGTGGCCTGGCCCAGGCTCAGAGTGAGCACAGATTCCCCCTTGTTTCAGCAAGAAAATAGAGGCACAGAGAGCACCACAGTCCCTCCTCTGTTATCCAGCTGGCTGGGCTGAAGCAGGCGGGCACGGGGCTCTGTGCAAAGATCCTGCTCTTTTTGCCCTGGAGGTGAGCCCTGTAACAGGCTTCCACGCTTCTGGAGACATTCTAACACACAAAATCCTGAGCTTCCCGAAGCAGAGAAGCCAGCCCTGGAGGGCACATCTGGAGGGAAGTGGCTGTGACAGTCCTCCCACAAATGCAATAATGGCACCACAAGTACAAACCTGGTGATGAGGCTGAGTGTACAAATATGGGACAAAAATGTTTTCTGAGCCAAAGTTTCCCATGTGTCGTGAGGTGAGGGCTGGGTCTTGGGTACAGGGTGGTAGCTCAGACCCAGCAGGAAAGTTTTTTGCAAAGCAAAAGGCATGTGGAAGCCTCTAAGGCAGGTGGAGACTGCACATGAGGCTTTATTATCTTCTGATCCCATTTTTTGATACTTTAGGCAAAATGGCTGCTGCTGAGTCCTTGTCAGCTAAAGCCATCACAGAGCCTTTGTAGGAAACTGGCCTGGGCTGCTTCACGGGGCAGTGAGCAGGGAGGGGAAGGGACGGCTGTCCCTTAGCAGGGCTGTCACTGCCCAAGTGCACAGGGTGCTATGAAGCCTGAGGGCATCCTGCGCTCCCTACCTTCGTCCTGGGTGAGCTGCCCTACCTGAACAGGTTCTGCAAGGAGGGACACAAACCCAAGCATCATCAGGTGTGTTCTCTGCGCTAAAGCCTCAGCAGCTGCCTTCCCTTTTCCAGGAATCCAAAAGCAAAGCTGAGCATAGCTTACAGCTGCATTTTCAGGCCAGGAATTTGCTGGGCTGGCTGCCCAGGTGAGGATCTCGCAGGGCCTGGAGGTGAGCAGTGCTTGCCATCTGCTGGACAGCTTCTCCACTGCAGGGCAGCCGCTGCAGCTTCGCGTTCAACCCTAGGCTGAGCGCGTGACATGCATTGCCTGTGCAGGGGTGCAAAAGGCTGCTCTCCCCCAGGGCAGGAGACAGCTTTGCTTCTGTTGTAAATCAGGACGTGATCATTGAGAGAAGTTTTCTGTATGACTTGGGGCGTGCAGGGTGGTGTGTGGGACCGCATGACAGCAGACGCCTGGAGAGGTCAGGTCCCAGCTATCCCAGCGCTGGCGCTCAGCTGGTTTTCTGCAGTTTCTCTGACCCTCAGCTGCTGATCCTAAACCTGACCCTGAGTGCTACAGCTGCAGGGCAAACCAGCCCAGCCCCGGGCAGGTTGGTGCCTGGTGCTCAGGGAAACCGGGACACATCCACATGGCTGTAATTTGGCAAAGGCAGCCTGGCGTTGGAGGTGCTTCCAATGCCTGTGGGGCTACATCCCGACACAGCAGCCCGCTCTCCAGGTTCCTCGTCTCAAAATGAGGCTTTTCTAGGTGCCCTGCATGTACCCTGGGAAATGGCAGAAACTGCATTTCCTCCTTGCTGCGTGTTGAGAAATAGTTGGTGTTTTTCTGCTGACATTTACCCAAATATTCAAATTCATATTGCTGTAAATGTCAGCAGATATCCTGATATAGAAATTCCAGATCAAGGCTTTCGGTGCAGTTTCACAGGAGCACCTTACAGCCCTGAAAGAGCAGCTGGCCCAGGAATTCCAACACGGGCAGTTCCTGCATGCAGTCAGGATCCGTGCGGGCTCACGGTCCATCCAGCCCAGCAGCGATGCCTCCAGACGTGGGCGCTGCAGATCTCTTGAAGAGAAAGGCAACTCTTCCTGTTGACTCCGTTGACTGCAAACAGCCTCCGGCCATTCTCATTTGACAGATTTTCTCGAGCCTGTTACTTTGAAATCTGTGCCCTGGCTCAGACACATGGGAATTTCCTTGAGATCTCCACGTCCCTCTGCAAGATCTCATCTGAGATCTCATCTGAGATCTTGCTTGTCTTTCTCAGGGCTGCAGCCACCGATTACCCCAATCCTTCTCCTTCTGTTCCCAGCTGATCTGCTCCCAGTTCGAACCTGCAGTGGTGATGGGGCAGCTCCCAGGGAACCTTGGTGAAACTCCACAAGTGAGTCAGGGTGGGGGAGCAGGCTGCCTCGGGGCTAAGAAAAGACTTCCTCCTGCATCCCAAAGCTCTTCTTGTAGTGAGTCCAAAGACACCATGTGTGGTTTCTACTGAAAGCTGAAACGCCATACGGCAGAGGTTTTACAGACTCCATAAATAGCTGCTGTTTAGGATGTATGTTATGGAGGAGGCTTCAGAAATCAAAATATTTAGAGATTTGCATTATTTGTCTTGGCAGGAAGGAGCAACCAAGACTGAAATACAAAATCATCCTTCAAGGAAGGAATGGAGTTGGGGAAAACAGTGAAATGTGGGAATAACAGGTGTCAAAACCTCCAAGAATTCCCTCTCAATGAATGAGAGCAAGAAACACAGCCCAGTATATCTCACAGCAGCAAGAATTCATTCAAAACGCCTAGGCTCATGTATACTTCTGATAGAAAACACTGATTTTCAAAAGGAATCGTGACATTTCCATCAACATAACATTTGAATATTGCAGGAACATTCAGAACACTCAGCTAAAATCAGCTCCAAGCTGGGCTGTGTCACTGTGAGCTGCATGATGAGGATGTCTCCAGCTCATCCTCCATCCTGTTCCCTTTTCTATTTTGTTCTGGTCCCCATGTGGAGCTGTGTAACGGGAACACTCGGATTGGCCTGAATGGCAAACGCGTGTAGATGCTGGGTGTGAAAGCACTGGTGGAAATTACGGGAGCAGGGCTATGAGAGTGGGAAGTGTTGGTGGAGCATAGGTTAGCAGGTCACTGTGACTCCAGAGTGTCACGGTTTTCTCATCATCGTCTCATTTCAACTCATCTCATCTCACCATGTGGTTTCCCAGCCTGCCACTTGGTCAAATCTGTCTCCAAGCCTGTTTTCAGCACCCCCAGCCTCAATCTGCTGTCTGCTGCTGCAGGAAAGTGAGTCAGCTTGGTCTGGTACCTTGGGCACGTCAGAGCATCCCATGTGGCATCTTTGGTGGCACATCCGTCAGTCATACGTGGCCAGGTTCATGGGGACATGGATGTGTGAGGGGCCTGCCAAGTCCACACAGCTCCTGCCTGTGCTTCACCCACCCCTTCCCCAGCATCCCTGAGCAGAAGTGCAGGATGACAGCAATCCCAGCAAAGGGGAAAGAGAGATACAGAGAAACAAAGGGATGTGTCAGGGCCTGTACCGCTGCAAAGGCAAAGCTGTGAGGCTGCAGAGGGACTGCAGGGTGTGGGTTGGGTTGGAGCAGGGAAGCACCCACATGTGGTTTTACCCTGGCCCAGTTTTGCTGATGCTTAGTAACACAGTGTTTTAGTGAAGCAAAAGGCTCTGGGCATAAGAGATCTTTCAGTGCCCTCTATCCCACTCCTTCTGAAAGGTCTGACTCACTAAGTTCTGTCGGTTGAGTTGTGATGATGATGATACCCTTGAAGCACTTAAGAGCCCTGGGTCTAGAATAAGATCTTCACCTGCTGCAGGGAATCTTTTCACTTCACTCATTGAGTCCCTCCTCTGGACCTCTACAAGGCCACCATGTTGGGCAGTGGTTTCTCATGTCTAAATGTTCCTCCCCCGCAGAGGAGCCCAGTGGCTGCAGCTGTGGTTGTTCAGCAGCCACAAACTGCGCCAGCACCAGCAATACCTTGCTCTTGCTCTTCCTCTGCCTGCATGAGGTGTCATCCATAAGCCTTTGCCTGGAGGTCAGCAGAGCCCTTCTGTGGGCATGTAACGTTTCGGAGGAGAGCTGCCAGCCAGTGCAGTGACACTGCTCCTGTCCTAAACGGCACCAGCTGAGCCAGCAAACCTCTTTTGTATGTCTATATGGCTGCTGGGATAATGCCAGGAGGAAGTCAGTTCTCTCTGCTGAGCAGGCAGCCAGCACAGCTGGTGTGACCCATGGCTCTTCCTGCTGCCATGGCTGCAGAGTCCACTGCTCTGTATTTCTGTGATGCAGATATTCTAGATGTGTGTGCCAGCCATGCTCATTCCCTGTTGTCATGTGGCTTCTAGGCAAAATCTCATGAAACACTACTTCTAGGTTTTTGACTTCTAGGTTTTGGTCTGAGGAAAAAAAAAAGAAGAGTTGGTCATATCCTGTTCCCTCTTATTTCAGAGTATCTTGTCATGGCATATCACTTGCCACATCCGGGCACTACTGCCCGTCAGGGCTCTGGGTACTTCCCTTCACAGGATGGTGTAGGGCTCCACACTCTTTGTACACACATAGAATTTCTTGACACAGCACTTCTTCCATTGTATCATGCTGTCTTTCTGCAGAATTTCATCATGTTTCCAGCCTTGCGCACCCTTATAGAGTGAACTGAACCCAGGGATCCCACATCAGGCCCAGTGAAGGACCAGTGCAGCAGTCTAGCCTGACTCCTACAATTAATCTCCACCAAACAGAAACATGAAGTCCTCCACTGCTGCCATTGCTGTTCTCACTGTGGCTGCTCTCTGCTACCAGGTCTCCTCAAGTTCACGTGAGTCCAAGCTCCCCACTCTGTAGGAACTCTCTTCTTGCTCTTTCTGCTGTACAAGTCCCAGTAATTCTTGTTGGCTCTCTCTTCTGAGCACCTGCTGTAAGAAAGGAAAGGCACATCTTGCTGCTCTTTGCTTTGCTGAGGGAAGGGTGACTGGTGGTAGACTGTGGTGGGAGCAGCACCTTCTTCAGTGTGGCCCTTCAGGTCCTGCAAGCCTGCTTCTCCCTGCCGGCACTGCTCCTGGTCTGGCTTTAATCAGAAAATCTCTCTTCTCTCCCAGTTGCTGTCAGGCCCCGCGGACCCTGCTGCTACAATTTCTTAAACAAAGCGCTTCCCCCAAGCAAGGTGGTGATGTATGAGTACACAGGAAGCGGGTGCCCCTACCGCGGTGTGATGTGAGTATTTCTGCCCAGACCCCAGGGCTGCCCACTGAAAGGTGGCAGCACCAAGAAACCCCACATGGCATGGCAAAGGGCATAAGCCGGCTGGGCTCTGCCACATTAGGAGAATTACCTGGAAACTTTGCAGGGGCCAATCTCACATCCCAAACAGCTGGCTTCTGGTCCTCCCTGTTATTTCTAAGCAGGTCACCTCCACCAAGATAGAGAGTCCCAGGCAGGACAGTGTGCTGGCTGGGGAAGGCAGCTGGGGGGGGAGTGGCTTTCTCCTCTAAGCAGCAAGGACACCTATGATGATATTGAGCTCACCCCTGTGCGTCTGCAGAGCCGCCGTGCAGTTACAGAGGTGTCAGCTTGGTGGAGTCCCAATGGCAAGGAGCATGCAGTCGCCCAGCCCTGCTCTCCCTTTTCCTCCACCCATTAACTGTGTTTCCTTCTGCAGATTCACCACGGTTGAGAAGAAGACGTGCTGTGCCAAACCAGAAGAGAAGTGGGTTCAGGATATCCTGAACGTGGAGAAGCACAAGGACAGCAGCCAGTGAGCTGTGCTCCAATCCCTTCCAGCATCACAGCTGCAGCCCTCTCATGGGCACCTCCCATCACAGCCCTGTCACCTCCTTGCCCGTGCATTTGGCAGACTGTTTGCAGACTGTTTTACAGACTCTGTACATACTCTTATTTATTTACCTATTTAAGTGCATGCAAAAGCATTTCTACTTCTTGGGGACAAACCTGTCACTGTGATTTGTACCGGCTGTCTTTCGGTTGGCTTTGCGATATAAAAGCAAAGGAAAGCTGCCCTTCGTCCAGCTGTCTCTCTGTCAGGCAGGGCCAGGGCCCACAGGCCGCAGCTGACCCGGTCGCTGCCCCATGGCTGCAGGCCACGCAGGGGCTGGGCAGCACCACCGGCATCCCTGCCACCGCAGGGCCTGCTGCTGCCGCGGCCGGCGGAGCCCCATCTCGTCCCACTGGGGTCGGGCCGTTTGTCCCGTTTTCCCCGCAGGCCTTCGCTTTCACTTTCACCCTCCGGGCAGGGAAGGCCGCAGCCCTCAGGGCCGCCCCGCTGGCGCCGCGCTCCGCCCACGGCCGCCGCTGCCCCGGCCGGGTGCATCGTCCAAGGCCACGCGCGGCGCTGCTGCCGGGCCGCGGCGCCCACCATGGCGCTGTCCGAAGCCCTGGAGCGGCTGCACGAGGAGGCCGTCTGCTCCATCTGCCTGGAGTACATGAGCGAGCCGGTCAGCGTCGACTGCGGGCACAACTTCTGCCGCGGCTGCATCGGGAAGCACTGCCAGGACAAGGGCTTGTGGAACGACGCGCCCTTCACCTGCCCGCAGTGCCGGGCGCCCTGCCGCCGCAGCAGCATGCGGCCCAACCGGCAGCTGGCCAACATCGTGGAGAGCATCCGGCAGCTGGGGCTGCGGGGCGACGTGGGGACGGGAACGGGGGCGGGGAGTGGGAGCCCGCTTTGCCCCCTGCACGACGAGCGCCTCAAGCTGTTCTGCGAGGGGGACGAGCAGCCCATCTGCGTGGTGTGCCGGGAGTCCCAGCAGCACCGCTCGCACACCGTCTATCCCATCGAGGAGGCCGCGCAGGTGTACAAGGTACAGGCACCCCTCTGCGAACGGCCCCGGGCACCGCTGCGGTGTGAGAATGGTGGCAAAGCGAGTGGCAGCCACTGTGCTGCGGGTGCCGGGGCTGAGGGTGGACTTGCTGCCTCCTAATGCAAGGGGCACCGTGCCCCCGTCGGCCCGTGTGCGTGGGACAGCCTGGCTCCCTGCCCTGCAAACAGTCGGGGCGGTGGGGTGTGGAACTCCTGGCACCCAAACACCATGTCCCAGCGTCGTGGGGGTACCCAAATGCCACGTCCCAGCGATGTGGGAGGCAGTTCGCTTGCTCTCTGAACCGAAATAGCGAGGAAAATAGGGAAAGACCCGAGCTGCTTGGAGGGGGTTAATGCTGTGAGCAGAGTGAAGAGAACAGCTGCTAGGAATGGGTGCCAGAGATGGCACTGCCTGGCACAGGGCCCTGTCCCCTGCTGCATGCTGGCACCAGCAGCTGTGAGCTCAGGGGCTGGGCAGAGCATGCAGGGTGGGGAGGGCCGACCTCGCTTCTGCTGTTTTCAGGTCAAACTCCAGAAATCACTGGAGCAACTTTCCAAGGAAGTGGAGGATATGAAGAAGCGTGAGTCAGAGGCGAAGATGAAAACCCAGGAGTGCAAGGCAGGTGCTCGGTTTGTTTGTGAAAGAATGAGCTTACATAACATCAGGAATTTAAAAAATCCGGAATGGTCTGGGGCTGTGAATCCAGGATGGGACATGTCCCATGTGCTGCTGCTGTAGGGAGCACCCACATCTGCCAGGGAGCCTGAGCCATCACAGCTGGCAGAGCCACAAGCACGGCGCTAGAAACCAGCATCAGTGAGTGTGGAAACTGCAGTGAATGCGATCCTGAGCAAATCAAAAAGCCCAGCTTGGGAAAAAAAAAACAGCATTCCAGCTCCAAGGAAATTGTGGGGGTTTGTGTGCCAGTTCAACAAATAGATGCTTTCTGTTTGCATTTCGCTTAAGTGAAAAGCAGGTGTGAGACACACAATCAGCTCTGCTCCACAGCACTAGAGCTGAAATTGTTGTCATTATAACAATACAAGCAAATTACTGCTCCTCTGCTTTACCCCAAGCAGCCCTGGGGGCAGAACAGCAGCAAAACAGAGGCAGTTTAGGCCTAGAAGGAAACATAACTGCAGAAGAGGGAATGAAACTTCTGGCTGGAGCTTTCCCTTGCTGACCTGATGATTAATCAGCTTTGGCAGGGAAAACAGGTTTCTCAGTGCTCTCCCAATTATCTGTGTGGGCTGTCACTAGTGATGGAGTTTGGGGGTGCTGCAGTGCACCCACCATCCCCCTCAGGCACTGCGTTGTGACAGAGCTTTGTCCCACCCCCGCCTGAGTTGAGGCCGTGGGTCACCGCCAGGCTGCCCCGGCTTCTGTCCTGCTTAAGTAAAAAGGAAAAAATGTCCCCAGCGAGTGCTGGGCTTGCAGTCCTGGCTTATCAGGAGTTTGTGAGTCAGGTCCAAGAAATCGTGCTTAGATGAAGAGGAAATGCACTTTGATTGCCTCTCATTTACCCTCTGGGCTTTGAGGCTTCCTGGTCGTAGTTAACCCCAGCATGTTTTTCTGCAGTTGGTTAACTTTTGGGCTTTAGGTTTTGAGCCAGATGCCAAATATTAAGTGTTGGGAAAAAATTTTCTCAAGCACTGCAGCCCCCACCTGTCACTGCTCCGTGTTCAGCGAGAATTCTCAGTGACCCAGGAAGTCCTGCCTGGTTTCTTCCAACCCCTACCCACCCCACCCCTGGGTGCTGTCACGTTTTGGCAGGATTGCTAAGCAGAGCTCACCCTGAGCCTGGCACGCAGGCAAGTTGATTTTATCTCCTGATAAAATCCCGCCCAAAACCCCACCTGACACCTGGTTACGTCTCCATAGACCCCTGTGCTGCACTCAGATATCTGTGGGCATCGGAGGTCCAGCTGGTCATGGCTGTCCTTCTGTTGGATGTCAAGTGGGAACTCTGGCTAGGTCAAACCACGGCATTTATCCCTTGGCTCTTCTTTTAAATAAACACAGACAAAAATGCAGCGGTTTCCTGCATGTTGGGCATAGCGCTGGGCTCTGACTCAGCTGGCTAACACTGCCTGCCTTCACTGTGTGCATCTTTCCTATCACAAGGAGAAAGTGAAGAGAAAGCGGGAGACGATTGTGTGTGAGTTTGGGAAGCTGCATCAGCTGCTGGCTGATGAGGAGAAGCTGCTGCTTCAGAAGCTGGAGGAGGAGGAATCACAGATTCTGGTGATGATCTCTGAAAACCTGGCCAGGGTGACAGAGCAGAAGTGCTTGCTGGTTGAGCTGATCCGGGAGATAAAGGAGAAGATGCAGCAGCCAGTTGAGGAGCTGCTCAAGGTCAGGCTCTGCCACCAGCCCTCTCAATTTTCCCCAGCCTCAGCCCCAGGCCTCTGCTGTGTGGCCAGGTGGTTGGGGCCAGTCTGGAGTGACATACCCAGAATGGCTTTTCTCTTCTAGGACATGAGATGCATCCTGAGCAGGTGGGTACCTGTGCTCCTTCCATTTATAGTCCGAGCTGCCTCCTGGCTTTCAGTGTCTCTGTCTCCCAGCCCAGTGTTCCATTTGTCCTCTAAAGACAGAGTGCCCTGGGGCTGACAAGGCTGGGGTCTGAAATTTAAGTAGCTGCAGAACCCTCCTCTTCCAGGGCCTCAGAACTGAGGTCTTGTCTGGCCTTGTGGGGTGTGAGATGTGAGATCTGTCCCCTCCTAAGGGCCGTGCTGCCAGGTTGGCCTATCTCCTCCATTTCCCAGGCACCCCTACTTGGCAGTGGCTCTGCACCTCCCTGAGATCCACTTCTTGTGCACCAGTTCACTCTGGATCAAAGGTCCCATCACATTTACTACCAAGTAGTCATTCCTGGTGCTTTGTCATGGCTGAGGAGTTCAAGGGAGGGAATGCATCTGTGCAGCCAGGTGAAAGGCATCAGAAAGCCCCATGATGCTGCAGAAGAGTTGTGCAGTGGGCACTGAATATGGTCCCCAGTATTGCTCTCCTTTCAGGTGTGAAACAATGAAGTTTCAGGCCCCCAAACCTGTGTCTGTGAACTTGAAGGAGGACTACAGCATCCCAGAGCGCTGCATGGGTATAAGACACATGCTGAGGAAGTTCAAAGGTGAGGATCTGCTTCCAGCTCCCTGTGTGTGTGGTCATAGCCCCCTGCCCTGGGACGTGGGGAACTGTTGAGTGCATCCCTGACAAACAGGTGGGCTGCTCGTTGGGGTGGGATCCTGGCTGAAGCCTTTGGCCCCCTCAGTCTCTGCAAGAGTCTGTGCAGGAGTCCATCCAGGTTCAGGCTCCTCTTTAATGACATGACTTCAGAGCAGACCCCGTTTCAGACCAGGTTTTTTTTTTGTTAGCACCAGTGCTGTGGGTTTTTTTTCCCTCTAACACTACACTGGAGTTAGAGAGTTTTCTTCTCAGATTTTGGATGACATTACCAGTTTGCTACAGGTGGGTTCAGGCTGGTTCCCATGGTTGGAGAGCTTTCTCCTTCTAGTCTCAGGTTGGGAGGGCATTGCTTACAGACTCTTGTTTTCACCGTTACTTATTAAGCTATACCCTGAATGCCAGGCTGCCCTTGTTGTTCCCATTCTGCAGCCACATGCCAACTTGCTTTGACATGGTTTACAGCTGAAATGATTTTTATGAATCACACTTCCCCAGGCCAGCAGCCCCACGTGGCATGCGAGGCATAAGGCGGTTACACACAGCTGGCAGCTGGGACTGGGGCTCTTCAGCATCTCAGTGACGGACTCACAAAGTCCTTTTGTGCTCCTCCCTTCTCTCCCACCAGTGGATGTGACTCTGGACCCTGAGACGGCTCACCTTGAGCTCACCCTGTCTGAGGACCGCAAGAGCGTGCGGCGCGGGAGCAGGAAGCTGTTCCTGATGTTTTTTGACAGCCCCAAGAGGTTCAGCTGTGTTCCCGTGGTGCTGGGGCTGCAGGCCTTCTTCTCGGGCCGCAGCTACTGGGAGGTGCAGGTGGGAGACAAGCCGGAGTGGGGCCTGGGGCTGTGCAAGGAGGCTGCCTGCCGGAAAGGAAACATCGTCTTTTCCCCCCAAAATGGCTACTGGGTGCTGCGGCTGCAGAACGGTGCCTATGAGGCCCTTACCTGCCCTGTCTCCTGCCTGACCCCGAGTGTCAGACCCCG